ATTACATTTGTTCTGCGCCATAGTAGAATTCTCGCCAAATATCAGCCTGATTTCATGCATGGCCGATTACGATGCTATATACGCATGAGCTTGCTGGAAGTGGATTGGCGAAGTATCGTTTTTAGCTCATCATCGGCAGATCGATGTTATGAATTCTTTCTTGGTGTGTGCCTCAATGCTATAAACAATTTTGTTCCTCTGCGCAAAATTTGCCATGATCGCTTGCTTTCTTTTTATTTCAAAGGATACTCAAGCTTGAGGCCAAGATTTCCAGGCTTTCTCGTGCAAAAAGCTGTAGTCCTTGTATGTTGAGTCGAACCGGACATAGTGGAATACTCAGTAGTTTATTAGCTAATCAGAATAGTGAATGAATCATCAAATGGCTACGGTACCCATATATACATCCGACTGTGAGAACGTACCACTCGGTACCAGGCACCGAGGAGAGCTTCATGAGAACAGCCGGGAAACTCATGGGAAAGAGTTTGAATCTAACATAGCAAGATACTAGGGATCGAAACGCAACAAAAAAACAAGGATAAACGATACGAAACAAATACTACATATATACACATTACTCCCCAACATCCCCCCTTAAGCTTCTAATTGTATCGTTTTTTTTTGACGGATCCACTTAAAGGCAGCTTCCCACCAGACTGGGGGGTACCTGGCTCTCGTAATGATGTAATAGTAGACCCATTACCTAAGCGATGACTGAAGTTCGGAGCGAAAAAGCGGGTCTACCAAGCCTGGAATTTGCTCCGAAAGTGGGCCGAATCTTACGGTAGGGCCGAGCGCCGCCCACACGGCAATATCGATTTGCAGGGTCAGAGTGCGTATAGCGCACACATCATGAGCGCAGGGACCCGCAACCACTCTGCGTCTCCACCTTGCATGCATCCCGCACTCGCCCGATCCTACCGTAAGATTCGGCCTACATGCGGAGCAAATTTCAGGCTTTGTAGACCCCCTTTTTCGCTCCAAACTTTGGTCATCGCTTACGTAGGGGGTCTACTATTACATCATTACGAGAGCGAGATACCCCCAGTTTGATGGGACACTGCCTTTAAAGACGGTGTGGTGGCTGGTGGATCCTCTGCGAGCGACGGCGAGCACGCGGCGGCGACAGTGGATTGGTGAAGTCCTCGGCGTCTCTAGGCTCGATAGCAAAAGTTGGAGGCGTCTCCTCGGTGGAATCAGCTTCCTTGGCAGCGGATGCGGGAATTTCCACGGTCACGGCGGAAGTCGATTTTCTGGGAAGGTCGAAGTCTAGATCGAATTTGTCCAACAGCGTGCGGGTGGCATCGGGAATAGCACGAGGGCGCAGCCGGTTGGCAGGCGTCTCCATACAAATCCTTCGACTTCGACGTTGTAAACCCCTAATCGTACACGTCCTGGAGTCCAAGTAGGTTTCGATTAATTGCGTCAGTCCCGAGCGTAGACGGCATCGTAACTTCGAATTGCTTCTTCTTGGCTCCATGATGACGATTGTACTGAGCTTCCATCGCGGGTTTCGATCCGGGAGAGCAGCTTGGTGTGACAGTCGAGCGTAAATGACCAAACGCGAGAACGGTGTATTCACTCTTCGTCCAAGAAACATCTCTGCGGGCGAAAGATTATCAGGCGAAGACGGGCAGGGCGTACAGCGGTAGCACAGCAGAGTTTTGACAGCGCTTCCGGAAGGTTCCCTTCTCCTTTGAGCTTCAGAAGTCCTCATTTGAAAATTCCGACGAAGCGTTCAGCAAGTTTATTCGACTGGGGATGGAATGGCGGAGTCCGAATGTGCTTCATCCTGTACTTCCTGCAGAAATCCTCGAAGAACTGTTAAGAGAATTGTGTGCCGTCGTCCGAAACGAGCGTTTCTGAAAATCCAAATCTGCTGAAAATATTCAACATCCTGCGTGGTAGCTGGTGACGTTGCTGTTTGCATTTCTACGATCGGGCCAGCGGGAGTACGCATCTGCGACGACAAGGTACATGTGTCCGTAGAGCGGTCCAGCAAAGTCGTCAGTATACAAACGTTAAATCGGGCGAGTTGCAATCGGCCATGGAAGTCAGTTCAGCTTTCACGAGATTCTTAGCGCAAGTTGACAATTCCGGCAGCATCTGATAATTTCTTCCTCTTTCCAGCAGCTATGTTTCATAGTGGCTATGTCGACGAGCGCTGAGATAACTGCCGAAAACTAGAACCCTTCATTTTTACCATGTCTAAATTTCGCTAATTTTCACAATTTTCATTTTAGACTTTTAAAGGTGCTTCAAAAACCACCTGATAAGGCAAACCTTTTTCAAATTAATGCAATTTTTTGCATTTTATCTTCCTCTTGAGAATTTTGCTGAATTATTTTACCAGAGCTTTGAATTTCATGAAAATCTCGTAACACATAATTGCACTAAACACTGCGAAATCCTCAAAATGATGAAGTTCTAAAACTTGGTTAATACTATCACTAGTATTACGAAGTAAATGAGCGATTACGGCGTGAAAATGGATAAATTTTGGAATTTCGACTACAACCTCGCGCACCCGAAAAATTGAGATGTACAGCGATTTTTTCTCTAAAACTTGCATGTTTTCGGAGAAAAGATAGCTGGTAGAAAAAGGAGAAAAAATGCATCGAACGATACCTAAATGTTCAACATCTGATACTTTGCGAGGTTAGAATGAGCCAAATATAAAATTTGGTCACTTCAGAAAATATATTGTAGTAGTAATTCATTCCAGAAAGCATGCTAAAGAGATGAAAAATTGCATTAATTTGCAAAAGGTTAGCCTTATCAGATTGTTATTAGGGCATCTTCAAAGTCTAAAATGAAAATTTTGAAAATGAGCGAAAGCTAGACATGTAAAAATGAACGGTTCTATTAGGGTGTCCCTTAATAAATTATCTTTTTACCCTAAACATCAGCATTTCTCGAGTATATTAGGTCGTTCTTCCGTTTTTTCGACCTATCATAATAACACATGGAATGAAGGTAGGGAAACGCTTCAGACTATCCGACGCAACTTCTCTTCCTCTTTTCAAGCGCTATATCCCTGTGCCGCTTGCTCTTCTGGTCAATGAGATAATGGCCGATACCGTGTCCAACTTTGACAATTTTCTACAATCTTCTTTCTTGATTTTTGAAGAAGCTTTGATAGCGGTCAGATAGAGTAAGCAAAGTGCAATTTAATGCAACTTTTTGGCATCTATAGCTATCCTTAAATTTAGAATTATTTTCCTGATGCTATCAAATTCCAAAAAAAAAACAAATATCAAAAAGAAAAATCAAAAAGAATTAAATCAAGAATCAATTTCAAAAAACCGAAGGCCGAAACCGAAATTGATATCAAAAAGAACTTTCGGAACGACCTAATATACAGGTGTCCAAAAAAAGGTATCGAACGTTTGATCTTTAATAACTTCCCTATATAGAAAGCTTTCGCGGATCCTGTCATGCGTTAGAGCTCGGTTCAACTTAGATTTACAGTATAAAGCGAGTCACAGATTTCTTTTAGTTTCTCTTAGGATTACGGTAGGAATTTGGACTAATTTCAAGCTTCTGACAGCAAGAACTGCTTTTAAAAAATTCCATAAAGCCAAAGTACGTTAAAGTGAGGTTTTCGGGGATGCTGAATCTAATTACAAAGTTTTTCGCTGCCGTGCTCCTTATCTTCTTGCCGTATGCGCAGTGTAACGCTAAATTTTTTCCTTTTCACGAAAATTATTAAATCAACGTTGCAATTACAAACAAACAACTTCGTCAAAAGCCTGCGCGTTAGCCAAGGCGTAACAGTGCGCATACCCTAGGAAGATGAGGAGTACGGTAGCGGAAAACTTCGTAACCAGATTCAGCATCCCCAGAAACTTCAGTTTAACGTCCTTCGGTTTTTTGAAATTTTTTAGAAACAGTTCTCTCCTGTCGTAAGCATAAAATTAGTTGAAAATTCCTACCGAAATCCTACAGTTACTAAGAGGAATCTGTTATTCGCTCTATACTGTAAATCTAATTTGAACCCAGCTCTACCGCATGACACTCAAAGATCTGCGAAAGCTTTCCATATAGGGCAGTATATTACTCTGTAATTTAATTCTGTATGAAATTGTGACCAAAAAAACGAACTTTTGTTTTTAAAAAAAAGTAACGTTTTTAGAAGCCCAACAACAATCTATTTGCATTTTTAAAATGCTGAATCATCACAACATTCACCCGTCTTTTTTAGAATTGAAATTTCTCACAAAATTTGGCATGGCCTCGAAACGAAGATAGGGATTGAAAAAATAGGGATTGATTTTCTTCATTGATCTTTTGTTAGTTGAACAGTTCAATCACACGTTAGTGCGAAAGCAATGCACGTTGCGTACTGAGTTATATCTCACAAAAACGAGAACAAGCAAATAATGGATCGAACTTTGAAAGACGTAGAAATGTTCATGATTTTTCCAATGTCTTTGTGAAAATGTCACCAAATTGAACTGTTATGATACAAGATGCAAGTGCAAACCTAACAAGGGAACCGTGTCAAGTCGAAGTGGCCTTTCCGGATGAGACCCATACTGCTTTGAAGAGCATTAATCGTTGATTCCAAATCTGCTTTCCAAATCTGCCAAGCGCCTCTGGACGCCGAGTTATGCTCGTTTTTCAAGTCGAAAAATTGAACGCAAAACTGAAGCAAAACCGCCCAAATTTGCTCAAATGGTCAGTGTCAAGTATCAGAGCTGTTTATGCAATGGATAATGCAATGGATACAATTTATTTAATATGGTAATACTTAACATTGCTTTATCTGACGCTGGAAAGATTGTAACAATCAATTTTGCCTAAATTCTGCATTCATTTTTCGTTCCGAAGAACGGTCATAACTCGGCGCCTAGAGGCGCTTCGCAGATTTGGGAGGCAGATTTGGAATCACCGCTTAATACTCTTCAAAACAGTATGGGCCACATCTGGAAAGGCCACTTCGACTCGACACGGTTCCCTTGTAAGTAAAGCCGTGCCAAAAAATTCAAAATTTTTAGTTGTGGTGGAATCTACGCAAGGCAGTGAAATTATGCGAAACAATGCCGTTTATGGACGAACTCAAAATTGATGACTTCAAAAATCACGACGAAACGAAACGCCACACCTTACCATTGCAGGTCCGAGTACCATCATAAGTTGTTTCATGCTTTTTTACAGTCTGAAGATTTTCATTCATAAAATTATGTTCTTTACATTATAAATGGTCTTTGAATTACCGTTCAATAGGGTATGGTTCTCATTCGTCCACCACGCTAACGTGGCGACGTCCAAATGCGACTTACAGCAGAGTGTAAATATTAGCAAAGTAGCCATTGAAAATTGCAAAACTTTAGAAAGGTGACTTTAACTTCAAAAAAGTAACAGTGTCCGTTTCAGTTGGAAGCTAAAAAAGATAATGGCAACGTTAAAAGGAAAGAAGTCGTTTATGACGGGCACAGGTAAAGGAGCTTGTATTGATTAGTAGCTGAAACATTGAGAGGAATCCAGTCTTTGATGGGAAGGCAAATTTGCGGAGACAAAGACTCGCGAGCATGCCTTCGATAGTCTAGAGACAGGGCGTCAAAAGTGAAGGTTGTTTGAACATTTGACGTCATAAATAGTGAAGCTTGTTTAAAGAAATCAGCGAAGAGAAAATGACGTAAAACAGATATAAAAAGATAAAGAATCTGCTGAAAACCGGATAAAAACGCTGCAATAGTTTGAAATCTTTTGTGTGGCGGCTTTTCAAGGTGCAATTTTTCGCTTCAGGACCAGCAATGTGCAATACGGGGTTTTGATTTTTGATGCGTCCTTGGAATTTTTAGCCCCGCATTGACGTTCCTTTCTCCTGGGACGTTGTCTGGATTGTTGCGCTTATTGTTGTGAGCAAAAACCGCCCAAGCTGGAAAAAATCGATGCGAAAGCACTAAAACAGAACAAGGTAAAGAAAAACGAGCTTTCAATGATTTTTCGCGAAAAATTCTACCATAATCGAAGAGGTAAGGGCTGGGTGGTTGTCTGCGTTATGAATTGGAGCAAGATCTATAGAATGCACGAAAAAATTGCGTGAAAAGAGTCAGACTAGGAGAAAAACGAGAGATTTTCGAAAACAGGGTTTTTGCTGGATTTCTCGATAAAATAAAAAATGTGGTTCTGGGACGTTGTCAGCGTGAAAATAGAGATCAAGAGCTTCAAATGATATATAGCTTGCTAAAATTGGGTTCGAAATAGCGAAGAAAAGGGTACCAGAGCCAAATGCCCCGCGCCCCGCGTTTGGGGTAGCGAGGTAGCGCGCAGCGCGCGGAGACGCAGACGAGCATCGGAGACAGACCAGAGCCGACGGGGCATTTAACTCTGTCGTAGATCTCCGCGGGGTCTCAACGAAACTCTACAACATTATACATATATCTAACGTCCCAAGCTTTGAAAATTACTCATTAACGAGAAAGACCAGCGTTTTCGTGCGCGGCCCTTTGCGCAAGATTCAAGCGCAGTTTCTCGTTTTTATTCAACTCCAGTAGCTTTTCTAAACTTCTGAAACTCGATTTTATTCAAATGAGAGGATAACTGAGAAATTTTGTCTCGATTTCTAGCGAAGATTCCACAGAAACCTTCTTTTTAAGGTAAAAAAGGCTATGAGAACGCAAATTCTCGGTTTTGCTGAGATAACTAAAGATATTATTCCCTATATTTGCTTCATTAACATTCGTTCCGATATAGTCAGGATAATAAGATTCGGGGCGGATAACTTCTGTTTTTTCTAGGTGAAGGTTGTGTCCCCTCATAGCCCTTAAAGTGAAGGTTACCAGAGTACGTGTATCTATGTATCTATGAGGATATGCTTATGAATGCAACTTATTTAGAAGTATTAGTAAACAGAACATTTTTGCAGGAGAATCTTCGAAAGCACTGACAACTTAACTTGGGCTACTGAAAGCAGCGTCGAAGCAAAGTTCTAAAAACCATTTTTTCCCATTAAAATTTTTCCAAAAAAATCATTTTTCTCCGCAAAAATTATTGTCTGAAAGAAAATTACTCATCTGTCGCTCAACAACGCCTGAGGTGGCACCGTCGCTTTCTGAAATAACTATCGTCACTGATTTCGGCTACTGTAGTGGCAATGCTCATTTGGGAGGGGAGGTCCGACAGGGAACACAATTTTGCCGGAGCCGCTCACCTTTCTGCGGGTGAGGAAGTCACTAAAACGGAAGAAAAGAGGTTCTTTGCTCTGGAAAGCATCGCACTGCTTTAGCAGCATCTCAAGCATTGACGTATGCGTGCGGATCTCAAAAGTAAAAAAGAAGATCGCATTGCAAATAAACTGAAAGAAAATAGAGAAGCCCTTCGTAAAGAGAAACGAGGAGAACATTTGCATAACAAAAATCTCTTTAAAATTTTGAGAAAGAAGACAAATTGCCTGCGGCGCTGCTTGGGCCTTTAAGGAAAGCCACTGATCACTAACGAACCTACGCTTTGAAACTATCTATGCAAGACAAATTGCCTGCGCTGCTTGGGCCTTTAAGGAAAGCCACTGATCACTAACGAACCTACGCTTTGAAACTATCTATGCGACTCAAACGTTATCTTTAGCTTTGTTGGGCAGTTCAATCCTGGACCGACACTGCTGTCATTACGGTTAGAATAGGGCCAAAAAGCTCTTGGGCGCAATCTTTTGCAGATTACTCAAAACAAGCAAACATCTCGTAAGCTTCGTAGCCATAGAGAAGCAAGCCCCACCTTTGTGACCTAAGTGAAACTTGTAAAAGAGAAGCACAGATGTTTCTGTCGCGCTTTGAGAAGGGCAATGAGCAAATGAATGTCAAAAAAATCAAGTGAGTTCATAGCGAGTATTTGAGGAAAACACCGTTGAGCCAGACGTGTAACTGCGGGGATAAGCTATTTAGAATACGATTTTTGCACCCAGGAACTTTTGAAGGCAGCCACCGAAGATAGGCAAGGAAATTGAGAATGTCTGAAACGCGAGACAAAACAAAATAAACTTTCGCGCTCTCTGCGCTTGAAGAAAAGTTATTTAAGCGTTCAAGTATCTGAGTATGAAGCAAAGCAAAAGTGACTTGCAAGCATCTGCATAAACTCAATTGACGTAAAATTTTTGACCAAAAGTTATACTGAGTGGCCGCAGTATAGGCGTCATAGGCGTCTGATGCACAAACAGTTTCAGTACCAGTGTAAAACAGCACAAAGCGACTTTTTTCGGCTGATAAAGCGCCTTGACCGGCGTTTATTGAATTAGGGCCGCATGCATTGACACCTCGCCGGGAAGGGGATCGCAACTTTGGAAGAAAGCTCCATATCCTGACGCTCCGAACTTCTGGATTCACGCTGTCTATCCATCCGTAAATATTCATACCATCCTTCACTATGAACATACTGAAAAGGAGCGAGAAATTGTACAAGCCGCATTTTCAGGCATTTTGTATGGTTCCCTGATAATCCTTGGCGGCCAATCGTCTTTTCATCAAAGTCATTTTTCTTACTTCAAAGTTAGAGAAAACATTCCAAGGTTGTTCTGTTCATCAACCCAACAGTGCTAAGCATGTTGCTGATAAGAACAAGTGATATTTCAAAGTCATGAAATTCGAACCACTAGTCGAAAGTTGGGATTTATCGAAAAGTTGATATTCCAAAAACTCATTTGTTCTTAGGCAGGCGCCAGAGAAAGCGAATATTTTGTTCAGGTTGGGGTCCCGCGCAGAATGGACGTCACTCACCATGCTGGCGTCAATCCAAGTGACGTCAATTCTGCGCGGGACCCCAACCCGAACAAAATATTCGCTTACTCTGGCACCTACCTATCAGCAGCATGCTTAGCACTGCTGGTTAGATAATCAGTACAAGTTTGTGAACTTTGAAGGGAGAAAAATGACTTTGAAGGAATGACTTTCAGCCGCGGGGGATCATTAATGGATCATATAAAACCTGTAAAATGTGGCTTATACAGCCTCTTGCTCCCTTTCAAGATGTTCATAGTAAGGTATGGTGGAAGTACTTACGGATAGGTAACAGCGTGAAATCCAGATATTTAGAGCTTCAGGATATGAGCTTTCTTATGAGCTGCGATCCCCTCCCTGGATGTATGTTAATGCGGCCCTTAGACAGTCATCAAATTGTTAGAGCTCGCATTCCATTCTGGGGCAAAGGCAATGCGTTGAGGATTTTTGGACATGCAATAGCAATTTTTTATCATTTTCAAAAGCAATGGTCTTACAAATGAGATACCTACTTTTTTGTCCATCGTACTATAGTGGTGGCCATAACTATACAGCCACCCTCAAAATCGTTGTAATTTGCAATGTCTTGAACGCAATTTCCTAAAAGCCATTATTTTGTGTATAAACCAACCTTATATCATTGGCCAGAGCGGCTCCCGATTTTCACTAATTTTGACTAAAGAAAAATTAAAAAATTGAAAAAAAGTGTACTGAAGGCTGGTCACAGCTATAAAGCCACCTACCATTTTTCGATCACTAGTACATTCTTTGAACCTAGAATTCTTTCTTCATTCACCCAACAAAATTTGAATCATTTGTCACATTTGGGAGCTGTCGCTTTTTGAAAAGAAGATTTGTACTGCATTTTTTGCTTAACAATGCATAAAAGGTTACATTGTTTCAAAAAATTGCTTTTTCCTGGATTTTCTAGCACTTATGTGACTCGAATGAAGATCTTAGGGTTCGCTTAGCCTTAGCAAAGAATAGGGTGAAAAGCGCTACAATAAACATTGCGTAGTCGCTGACGTTGATAAACGTTGATAAATGAGCCTCACCTTGCCGAGGTGTAAGCGCGCTTCTGAGACGCAAAACTCAATTTCTGGCGTACGGAAACTTCCCATCGGAAGTTGACATTTTGTTTGCATGGCCACGACTTATGCGAAAACTGTCAAAACCTTTACGATGATGAATTTGCAGCAATGAAGTTGGAGCGGTTTCTCTGCAGTTTGGTGGTGTACAGTGCATCTCACATGTCTTCAAATTCTACTCCTTTGAACTCTCATCAAGTCAGTTTTTTAGAACTGTCAGGAGTACGAGAATTTCATATCTTTGAGCGGTTTTCCGCCCGATTGAGTGATCAGAGTGTGTCATAACTATGCGGAAAGCACCGCTCATTTTTGGAGAAA